AATTTAGTTATATTTAGTTATATTTATACAGCTTTTTTTTTACTAATAAAAAAAAGTTTTACGATCAAGTAGGCTTTGAACCCCGGACTAAAGAATTACTTATCATCGAATAGTTCACTTGACCATAAAACTTTTGATTAAACAACTTATTTATATATAAGTATACATATTCCTAAATTAAAAAAAATTACCGTGTATTCAGCATTTAATGTAAATATTTTCTTTTTTCTTTCTCTAATAATATCAATCAGTTTACAAAGGGGTGGAATATTGCCAGCGGTCATACCAGCTCTACATTGAAAATCGTCTCGTTGGCGGTCAGGTTCGATTTGACATTGACCCATATTTACAACAGATAAGAACCACCCGTTGGCCAGGTATTTCAGTTTCAAAAGAATATTTACCTGTGCGAAGAGAATGTGATAAGTGGATAAGATGGTACTTAAGCTACTGAATTTTCAAAGCTTATTTCGACGACAATCAATTTTACAACAGGGTAGGACCACCCGTCGGACAGGTGTTTGCGAGGGTGGATTGTCAGCCAAAAGAAAAAGGTTCGGTTCGTTATCGACCCATTTTACAACAGAGAACGTTTTCAGGTGTGACAGATGTTTCAGTTTCAAAAGAATATTTACATTGGCGTAGATAATGTGGGAAGTTGGTACTAAAAGGATACTTAAGCTACTGATTTTTCAAAATTTGGTTCAACGTCAAACAATCAATTTTACAATAGGTAAGGACCATCCGCCGGGCAGGTGTTTTCAGGTTTAGACGTTCCAAGAAATTTTAACTGCGCTACTTATACGTCTTATACGACGCTAATAGTTTTGATTTTTGCCTTTCTGTCCTTGGTTCAACCCCCGATAAGGGTGTAAATAAAGATTATTAATACATTTTTTTTATTATTATTTTTTTAACAGCCCTAATACATCAATATATGCTCAGAGTTCAGAAGAAAATCATATATAGATAGTGTTATCATTAACTTTGAAAATCTGCATTTTTTTTTCTTTAAAATGAGAAGTTAAAAGGAGTAGCTAAAAGGAGTTGTTGGGTCACAATGCTATCTTTTTTTTTTAATCAATGTTTTTTTTTTGTTAATAGACCTAAACACACTAATATATATGTTCAGAGTTTCTAACTTAAAAAAATTAATAGCTTCTAAGAAAATGTGCATTTTTCTTTAAATTGTATTAGTAATTATTGCTGATTTAAGAATAAGATATATTTGTCTGCAGCTGTACCGACTGCCAAACTATTTTTCTTCTTTGTTCTATTTTTTTATCTTACACAATAAAATGCAGTGATCTCAGTTCATGTTTGGTAGCTTTGTTAAGTGTTTAGTTTAAATCCTATCTATGGAATAATAGCATAATCTCTTTAACTTTTAGTAGGAATTATCTTAATTAAGTATTAAATTCAGATGTGAATATGATCAATTAAAAAAAACACACACAGATTTTTTTGAAAAAAAAATGATTTTATTTAAGTAAAAAAAAATAAATTACAGTTAAATAAGCTTTTCTAAAACATGTTAACAAAAAAAAATACATAAAAATTTAAACATTGACAAACCACAAATGCGTAAGAATTTATGGACACAGTTATATGCATTTACATATTCTATTTTCGATTAAAACTAATATCTACAGATAGGACTTTACTACTTATACGCTTTCATCTATTTTATCTCGAAGCATCTGTACGGCGATATATAAAAGCGATATGCTTCATCATTTACGTCTTAAGTAAGAGTTGTTAGAGATTCATCTTATTAAAAAAAGGGAAAAAATATGCGTATAATTTGTTAAAAACAAAAATTACTTCACTGTTGTGATTTGAACAGTTTAATGTATTTGTATATTGCTTAATAATAAAAAAAAAATATTTTAGTTGAAAAACTATGTGACAACTCTGTAAAGTCCTAAAAAGGATAGGTAAAAAAAAAGGTTTCTATCGCCTCATGGTACCCGTCCGTTAAGAAGAAATATATGTGGATTGGGCCGATCGGTATACCTACGTCCTAAGTAGGGGTGGTTAAAAATCAGGTAAAGCCGTTAGTTAGACCCTTGGAGATAGTCCTTCGAAGATAGTGTGCTACTAACTGATTCAAAAAGTGTTCCATTACCGAGAAGCAGTAAGATTTTATAGTTTCCAACGATATATTATTATCGGAAAATGTAGAACGAGCGTGTGACAGTGGACATTATTCGATTAAACCTGTGCGTGCGAAAAAAATGTCCATGACAGGCGACTCAACTAATACTGACTGAGTACTTCATAGAAGAAACGTGTTGTAAAATTACAAATCGTGTGTGTGTGCGGTATAGGTGTATTGCGAAAGTGCTTCGAAAACGATGAAACAAAGCGGGTAAAACGTTTTGTCTTCCCATTGATAATAATCGGAAAAAAAAGATATTAAGGATTTTTGTGATGCAGATGTAGATATGTGTAATGTACAAAATTCAGTTATAATGGACTAAGATAACATATACATTTCAGTAGCTTTTTATTTGTCTTATCTTATGTTTTACTTTTTTCTAACCATGTAGATGTATATTTATTTTTACTTATAATGCATTCTAACTACCTGTTGTTAAATAAATATTGTTTTTCTTTTTTTTATATCAGCTTTTTAATTATATTGCATATCTTCACTTGTAAAAAAATAGTGTTCACACGTAAATAGGTATACTTATTTTACTTAAAAAATGTATTCTAACTATCTGTTGTTAAATAAATATTGTTTTTCTGTTCTCTCGTTGCCCTTTTTTTTTTAATCATATTATATGTTAACTGGCTTTTATTCCGCCCTCTAGCAAATAATAATTATTATGGCGTTTTTTATGTATAAATAGCTTTTTCCTAATATATTATTTTTTGCTACTAAATTTGTTCACTTCAGATATAGAGTTATTGGAGATGCTTATGTTTTATACTAGTTTTAAGTTGGATAATTGTCATTTTGTAAATAGGTATATTTATTTTTACTTAAAATGTAATATTGTTTTTGTATTTTTTATTACCTCTTTTTTCTCTACTTATATTGTATATTAACTGGCTCTTATTCTTCTTTAAACCAAACCAAAAAAAAAAACCCTTCTTTTTTCTTAGTTCATAAAATTATTTAACTGTTTTTTCCTAAAGTAAATTTATTATTCATGTAATAGTGTATTTATTGTTTTAGTATTATTTTTTATTCTCATATCTGATAACAATGTAGCCCAATTATTTTAGATTTTTATTTTAATGAAAGAAAAAAATATTTTATTACTTTTTTTAAACTTGTGTACTATCTGACTTTTATAAAGTATGTTTTTTAATATTTTCAGATACTTTTTAATTTTATGGATATCTTCATTTTTTTACTTTTTTTTATTGATTCTAATTAGCAGTTTACGTTGTGTTGTTCACTTGTAAAAAATAGTGTTCACACGTAAATAGGTATACTTATTTTACTTAAAAAAATGTATTCTAACTATCTGTTGTTAAATAAATATTGTTTTTCTGTTCTCTCGTTACCCCCCCCTTTTTTTAATTATATTATATGTTAACTGGCTTTTATTCCGCCCTCTACCAAATAATAATTATTATGGTGTTTTTTATGTATAAATAGCTTTTTTTCCTAATATATTATTTTTTTTGCTACTAAATTTGTTCACTTCAGATATAGAGTTTTTGGAGATGCTTATGTTTTATACTAGTTTTAAGTTGGATAATTGTCATTTTGTAAATAGGTATATTTATTTTTACTTAAAATGTATTCTAACTACCTTTTGTTAAATAAATATTGTTTTTGTATTTTTTATTACCTCTTTTTTTTCTACTTATATTGTATATTAACTGGCTCTTATTCTTCTTTAAACCAAACCAAAAAAAAAACCCTTAAAAAATTATTTAACTGTTTTTTCCTAAAGTAAATTTATTATTCATGTAATAGTGTATTTATAATTTCCTAATGTGTCATACTAAAATAATGCTTACACAGTACTAAAACATGGAATGCACTTCATAATTACATAATCTATTTTTTCAACATATCATTAAGTAAAAAAAATATACCTTTAAAAGAAATATAGAAAAAAATATGTTTCTCTTAAGTTGAATTGAATAATTATAAATAAGAAGTAATGGGGTAGGAGTTCTAATGTGCTAATAGTATGGAAAATCATTTTTTTTTTACTTAGCAATATCTCATAGCTTCATGATTGAAAAATAGCATGACTTTTGTTTATATGGATACTTTGAAGCAGTGAAGAGAGTGTTAATATTTAAGTTTAAGATAATTACAACCTATACAATGCTGCACACACCAAAAATATATACGTTACAATAAGATTCTGTAGAGGCATGTCAGAGTTTAAATAAGACCTCCCCCCCCACCCATATTCTCCTAAGAGCATCGATACGCACGATTCATTCCAAAGACATCTGGTCTTTCAAGATCATACATCAAGGTCCTTGTGAAGGGTACACAAACGCATTTCAAATACATCTGAAAGTCAACCTTAAAGGTCGTTTAAGGTCTCACAACAAGGTTCTTTCTGGAATCACTCAAGGAGGTTTGAAAGCCACATATGTCAAGGTCAAGCGAACTGCGCATGTGGAGGAGCCCAATCGGCTAATATCTCCTACTCACACTCCATTAGCTTTGACTCCCATTTCCACGTCCTTCAGAGCCTCTTGGAAAATAGCTTCTGAGTATAAATTAAATAGGAGTGAAGATAGCACGGAACCCTGTCTATTAATATTGTTCAAATATAATTCCAAATTGTTGATATATTTTATTGAAACTGTTAGGGTTAAAATGTACAGAAAATTACTTACAGTTAGTGGAATCTGTCTAAAGTGCATACTAATAGAACACTCAATAATGTATATTTTTGATGTCAGTTGTTACCATTATATTTTTCCAATTAATATTAATTCAAATATAATTCCAAATTGTTGACATATTTTGTTGAAACTGTTAAGTTTAAAATGTGCAGGAAATTACTTACAGTTTGTTATTGTTGTGGAAATTGTTGTAACTTGCCATATTTATTATTCCACCCCATCCTGGACCCAGGGAGAAAAATAATTGTACAGCTGCGTCACACCAAATCTAAAAGTTAAATGAGTTTTTTAGGTTTTTATTTTTTGAGGCAATAATTTCCAATTTTTCCAAGTTTATGAAAATGTCAAGAGAATATTAAATTTTAAATAATTTATTGTTTAATCTAGTATCACTTTTTTTAATTTGTTTTAATTATGTGCAAGAGAGTAAGAAAACAAATATAGAAATTAAATAGTGTAATAATAGGTATGGGTATTATTTTACCATACTATTTTGATAAAAAATGTATAATTTGAGCAATTATTGTTCAGAACAATATACAATAATCACAGAAACATCAAAATAATTCTAATTTAGAGCAATAATTTAATAATTTAGGTCTATAGAACTTTAAAGCGACAGCAAATCACTAAAAGTTAGTTATTAGATTAGGAACTATCAGCTATTAAATAATGCCAATTTAATATTGAGGCTTTTATTTGAATCTTGTTAAAATTTTAATTAGCTATATGAGAAATTTTGATTATAACAAGCAAATCAAAAAGCAGTCAAATGAATTTAAATAGTAAATTTACATAAAATTTCTACCTTTTTCATAAAATTTTCGATTTTGGGAGAAAATACGTAAATAATAGAAGGTAACAAAACTTAAAATATAAATAAATTTAAAGTAGAATTTTTTTTATTTCAATGTTTTTTTTATAATATATGAGAGCAATAATAGTTCTTAATAATAGAAATATTTATAATAAAAATGTTTCTTGCCATATCTATAGTCTAAAGTATTTTAAGAAAGTTGGCTCTTTGATATCTTTTACTATGCTCTCTGGAACAGCATGCGGCCCATCTAGCTGCCGATACCCGTTGCGTTCACCACTGCGCATCGGAAGAAGATCCTATATATTTTTGATTTAGTCCGTTAAATTCAGAGTTCGAGACCGGGTCAGGGCAAAAACTTTTTTATTTTATTTTATTTTTTTTATTTAATTTAAGTATTAAATATTTTTTTATTAGAATCACCAGATTTATTTAATAATTTACTAACAGAATATAAACGAAAAAAAAAAATAAATAAAACAAAAAAGTTTTTGCCCTGACTCGGTGGGTTTATATTCAATACTAGAATTTAAAGGACTAATAAAAATATAGGATCTTCTTTCAGTGCGCAGTAGGCAGTAGGGAATGCAACGTTTACCGGCAGCCAGACGGGCCGCATGCTGTTCCAGAGAGCTTAGTAAACGATACCTTAAAGAGGCAGCTTTCTTAAAATACTTGTTTTCCCAACGTTGCTAGCTCTCGTACTGGTGCCAATAATAAAAACTGAAAATTACAAAAAGTTATGTTTGTTTGCCGTAATGGGGAAACCAACCAACCAAATATTACATATTGATACTGCAAACACCTTTCACTTTTTATTCATTAGAAAATATTATTATTTTTAAAAAAATACTTGCAAAAACAACTGCTTTATTTATTTTTATTAGATATACTATACTTTGGAACATATTTATAATTATTAACATTTATTCAACCTCAACGCAAAACCAAACCAGCAAATTAATGAGTGTATCGTAAAATTATTGTACGCCAACCCGAATGGTATTGATATCAGGTATTGACCAACCTGAATCAAAGTAGCCACCACAGCACAACAGAGTTTCAAGACGGTCACCTGTCCATCCACTCACATCGTCTAACGTCGCTTAACTTCGATGATTCACAATAGATCTGTAAGGTCGCAGTGATTAAACCCCCTCCCGAACTTCGGTGATGTATCAGGAACCGGTGTTTCGACATAGGTGGGCCTTTGCGTAATCTAAGGACACTTCCCAGCGGATCTTTACTCGAATATAAATTTCCCCCACCAAAAAAAAACGCTTGACAGAGACAAGTAATAAGACTATATAAGAATATCGAACCTGCTTTTCACAAATAGCAATTATATCCTTGTAAAATAAACAATTAAATATTGTATTAAAATAACTAATTAAAATCTGGTGATATTTTTGATAGACGCAATACACAAATACAACACCATACGCCCCCAATATTATAACATTTTCATTGAAAATAAATTATTAATTATTATAGAAATTAACAATGTAACCTACATATTGGGGTAATAAAAAATTAAATTAAAATAATTTTAAATTAAGGCTTCGTGACGAGATTATAAAATAATATTAATAAAATTAATCAGAATAGAACGATATAGGTTAGTTCTAATTTCTGTATATTTTAAGTGGGAAAAAATAATAAAGCAGATTCTATATGGAAATTCTATGATTTTAACAACAGTTAGCAAGTCTGTCAGAAGTCACTGCTTTTAAAAGTAATACTTTAAATAGAGACAATGTGCTAAAAGTTGTTATATTTTAATGAATTATTATCATCATTCTCCTATATTAATCATGTTCGATCTTCTTTGATATTTTTTTTTAAATCAGTGGCAACCTGATATTCTTTTGTTATACACATGGTGCATATATTAGGTGGTGCATCAACGTTGAAAACATAGAAATTTCCATACAAATTTTGAACTGTCCGAATAGTGGCTCACCTATTGATTTCAGAGCAGAATCTTAAATAGATTTTTAAGGATCTGGGTACACTTGCCAAATTTGAACAATTTTGGTCAAGCCGTTTTTAAGTGATTTAAGGAAATTATTGATTTAAGGATTATTGATTTAAGGTAATGCAAAACCAAGTAAATGCCAACATACCTTAAGTTGCCAATTTATAATTTTGTCAATATCCAATTATATTTCCTAAACCTTTAGATTATGTTTAACTCGAACAAGTTTTAAAATACCAGGAATATTTATCGGGAACACGGTATCTCGGAAACTACTGTATGCGTATACACCACAATATAAATTGCATTCATTCATAGGTTGACAACTTAAAGTATGATGACATTTGCCTACTTTTGTATTGTTATCTTTTCAGATTTAATTTAAAAATGAATGCAGTTTTTCTTAAATTAGTTAAAAAGGGCTTTCCAAAAATTGTACAAATTTGTCATGTATTTTAGCATATGCAGACCTTTAACAAACCTCTTTACGATTCCGCTGTAAAATCAACAGGGAAACAAATATTTGAACAGTTCAAAATTTGCATGGGATTTCCTGTCTTTACAACGTCGATATACCACCCGGTATGTATCTTTAATATACGACATATTTTTGGTGGTATGGTGATAAACTGTCAATAAAAATTCACTACGGTAATTAATTATAACTCATGATATTAATAATTATCGGCAATTTGAAATTAAACTTTCCAATTAAAATTAACACGTGGGTGGATGCACGGGAGACGACAAACAGAACATGTATTTCTGTCTAATCGAAACAATTTTCATTCAAATGAACGTATCTTAAAATAAACAAGATTGCTCGGCGCGTTGCAGTTAAAACAATATGGAGACAGTTTTCCGGGTTGGTTCCTTTATCTGATTGTTTCGAGGTAGCGAACGCTGCGCTGGTGATTTCCATTTCTCCTTTTCTCTCGCACTCCACTGAATTTAAATTGGCTGTTAGTTCTAATGAGAGACAGGGACAGAGAGACCGATGAATGGGGAGGGTTAAAAGTTCTATGCATTCGAAAATTAAAACAAATACCGGCTGATCAATGTTTTGTATGAGTCTTATTTCTTTTATATGTTACTGAGATGCTAGGCCTAAATTAATATTATTTCGTTCTTATTATTTATTCTGTACGGTTTCTTCTTTAGATCACTGCTAAATACAAATAATAGAAAAAAAACAATTGAAAAAATATAGGCATATATAAAAATAAATTGAATAGTGTAGGTACTTCTTTAGTAGCAATAAAGATACCACATTGCTGATTTTAGATATCAACCTCGTTTTTGTATCCAAATTCAGTCAAAATTTAAATTTGTTCTCAAAGATAATTTCTCGTGTTGACTAACGTCTTGTCGTAAAATGATTGTTGTTTTTGCACAAACATAACCCTTCTCCAATGTGTATGTTTTTTTAATTGGTGTTCTTATTAAGGTGTATACAAAAGCAATAATGAGGTGTATACAAAAACAATAGTTTTTATTAATTATAAACAAAATTATTTTATAGAATATTTATCTAAAATTCTCATTAAATTTGGTTTCATAATCTATTAATTCTTTAAAATTCGTACAGAATTTTTTTCAATTTCCTTTTTTTAACTAATTTTTATGTAGGTATATCCTTCCTCTTTCGAATTCAAGTCGCCTCTTCTACTCAATCAAGAGTTACAACAATCATAGCTAACTCAGCAGTCGTCTCACTCAATTATCTCATTTCTCAAAATTTCAGAGACAATTACAATTCAATGGGGGCCAATACTAGATTGATATATGTATATGAATAGTTATAATAAATGTTGACTGAATGGAATGTTATTGAGTCTCTCTGACAACTATAATCTTACTAGGTTAACAATAATCTTACAAGGTATAACTGAAATATCTGAGTATATAAACGCTCAACTTGTAGATTGTACTTTAGTTTATAATCATCTGCTGATGATGCTAACATGGTTAGCGAAACGCGCGTCCAGTGTAAAAGTAAAAGTGTTTGGTGTATTGTGGTGATTTAGTGTTTTATTTTGCTGTAAATGTTTGAATAAGCTAAACATAATGATCATAATGATTATAATAAATTTACAAGAGAAGAGTTTCATCGACATTCCCTGCTGCAACAGTTTTTTTTTGAAAATCTCGAAAACCGTTTGAGTTAGAGCTAAACATTTAGGTGAATTATTTTGATTCAATCCCCTGAGTGCGAGTTAAAAATGCCGCGGGGGCAGATTTCCCATATTAATCCGGCTATACCCCTTAGTAAAAAATAAAATTACCTATGTACCACGGGAATTATAAAATGTTAATAACGTCGGGCACTTATTATGACTCGGTGATATACTATATGACTCGGGTTCTTAGGACAGAAAGTTTGCCCTCGGTAATTAACACCCTTATAAATTCCCTTGATACATAAATAACTATTAACCCATTACATCCGCTGCCTTATTTCAATATGTATTATACCTTAAAATTTGTCAGCTGGTCCCACTGCGGGTAAATATAGAAGTAGATGCCTTTCATGGCGCCGGGCAGGGTGAGACCTCTCACCAGCAGCACGAAGAGAATCAAAAATGGAAAGGTCGCAGTGAAATAGACAGCTTTTCCGATCGATTTGACGCCATTGCTCATACATAAGTAAGTGGCTATCCAAGCTAGGGTGTTGCATGTGAATAGAGGCCAAACGATCTCGTTTATCTCATCGATGTTGTCCGATATGCGAAGAATTTCTCGGCTGGAAATTTTAAGAGATTAAAATTTTAGTGTATAGGTGTCGCTGCATTTGTATGGAATATAATAATTTATAGGTAAAAATACTGACATGTTTTATGACAGTTATATGACGGTTAATCGAGAGGGTTAGTATGGGGTTAGTTTTAGATTTGTTATTGAAAATACCGTATCATCGAAAAAATTCCATACTTGCATTTATTTAAGACTCACCCTATGTATAAAATATCAACTTTGATTCTTAACTTTTTTTTTATAAACTTTAGTACTGGACTTTATTGTACAATTATACAGAGTTTATCGAATGGTTGTTTTTTATTTACCTTAAATTTAAACACACCCTGTGTAGTAATTTCCTGAATATTTTTTTTCTAAAACATTATTTTTCGATCAGAACCATGTCTTCTGAGCATTTTGTTTTTTGGATCATGTCAACACATACATTGGTGAATTTATAGGAGCGAAATGACTTGCCACCAGTAGATTGCTATTTTTTAAGTTATAATTTCTGTTTGTAGTTATTTTTCAATATGACAAGGCGGCTTTGGTGATTATTGCAAACCATCTACTACTATGAACTGCCCATCATGTTCGACGTTTGGGAAATGCTTGGCCAGGGGGCTTCATCAAATAAACTTCTCTTGGCCTTTAAAGAAGAATGGGGTAACATCACGCAATATGATAGGTTTGTTCCAATCAGCATTTCAGGATCGTTTCGAAATCGTACTCGAATCGGTTTTCTTGCACTTTGTTAGCATGCGCTGACTTCGAATAGTTTTGTGACGGTGCAAAATGTATCAACGTTGGAACGCTTTGTGGATTATTTTCGGGACTGTCAAAAGTGTCAAGCGTGCGTGTATCGATCGGTTTTTTGTTTTTGTTTGGAATTTCATAACATAACCCTATTATTTTTGTTTGCAATATGCAATAATAATAATTATTATTCTTGACATGGAGAATCAGAATCCAATAATTGTTGGTAAGTGTTGTTTCAACTGAATACTCACTAACTCACTTAGTTATCCTCTCTTTTATGATCCTGTTATGCGTAGTTTCCTGTTATTTCATTCCAGTAGTAGAATCTTTGAACATTATTTTATAAATAAAAAAATAATTAAAATTTCCGAACGTAAGCTAGATTTTTATGCATCCGTTGTCCGACGATACGTTGATACGATATTAATTTTATTGGTAGAATTTAAAGACTTTGATTGGTTAGAAAATAACGCAGTTTTAAATTTATTGCATTTTCATGCCTCCGTTTATCGGATATACGTTGGTGTCATTTTATATTTTCAATTCCATAACGATTTTGCTATTTTACTTATATTTTTATTAAGGTTAAATTAAATTTGTCAAAAAATGTAGCATCTAAGGAAGGCAATACAAAGTATTAGTGTATTTTTTACATGTTTTTTTTTTCTGTTGGTATACTACTTAGTATTATAGATATACTACTGAGTATTACATATTTTCCTAAATACCGTTAGTTCCGTTATCGTTATTAATGTTTATTTAAACGAGGACTGTATCCAATGCAGCGTAATATTGACGATGACGTTACGACAATAGTCACCAAAACCACCTCTTCATATTGAAAAATAACATCAAAAATTAATGATAACTGAAAAAATTGCAAATTGTAGGTGGCAAGTTTGTTCCGCTACTAAAAATTAGCCAAGGTATGAGTTAACATGTGACAAAAACAAAATGCTTGGGAGACATGGTTTTGACTGAAAAACCAATGTTTTAGGGAAATTCTTTCACGAAATTATTGCACAGGTTGTTTTAAAGTTAGGTTAAAAAACACCATTTGATAAACCCTGTATAATAAAGTCCAGTATTAAAGTTTATACAAAACTGAGGTTAAGAATTAAAGTTGGTATATTAATATACAGTTTTCCAAAAAAAAATCATGGAAATTGAACTAAAAATAAAAAATTACGATTTTTTTTCCGTTGCGTTTTTTGCATCTGAGTGTATATCAATTGAGCTTATATGCATTAAATATTAAGTGATAATATATGACATATCAGTAAGAGGGTGCTAAAATTGTTTTTTTGTTTCATATTTTAACACTGTTTCTTTTTTGTTTTGATGTTTTGAATAGCGTAGGTAGGTAGATGTATCTCTTGAAACCTTAAGTGGTTTTTGTTACTTAGATAAACCTGTTTTCCAGTACATATCCATAAAGTAATCGAGTATCCATGTATTCTCAACCCAGTAAATTTTTGCATAAGATGAATATTTTACGTACAGGTGTTATCTTATGGCGTGACTCCCAAGGGATTGTTCTATTATTAGAACGATATTATTGTTATACTTTATAATAAATATTTTTAAAACAAAAATATATCTTATAAATGATCTATTCTTATGTCTCGAGCAATTCCAATGTCCTCCTTTTTAATATGTATAAATCTGTTTATTTTGCTCTAGATTAATGACATGAATTTGGGAAGCTATGAATCCGAGAATGAATCTGATAAAATAGAACAACTTTAAGTAAATATGAGAATATTATACGGAAACCGTTCTATTCTACCGCATGATATTGATTCTAATAGTTTGTGTGTAAGTAATCGGATATTTCTCTACTCGATCGTGGAAATCAAGGAAATCAAATATTTTCTAAATCACTGATGGCCTCGCAACTTTGCCCACAGACTAGATCTACTTCTCTTTGTAATACTGGTTTGAACAAAACTTATTTAATATTAGGATAAATTATACGGATATAATTGTGTTTAGTAAAATTAATATTATTTTTTCTTCGACAGGGGGGAATCCTCACTTTATCTGCAATTTTATTTATAGAGATGATAGACCTTTTTATGGAAAAGTAAGTGGATCTAAAAAAAATTTCTTCACAAGTTCGTTTAGATATATAATTTTATTGGAATTTAACAACAGTTGTAGTAGAATCATTCAAAATTCTCTCATACATTTGAATATGAGTAAACTCATATACAGGGTGGCGCACCTCATTCACCTCGGTTGATTATACGAAACCTAAAAGATGTAGAAACAAAATATTTTATGGGTATATGTGGGAAGGCAATGTGCACAATTTAAAATTATTTTGAAATGTACAGGGTGTGTCAGAACTAAGATCTATACCAAAGTTATATTTTTTCTTATGGAACACCCGGTATTTTATTCCATTCTTGGATTCTTGGACATAAAATAAGGCATTTATTATTAGGGGTTAATATGTTTAAAAACTATGTTTTTTGAGATATTTAAATATGCATGCTATAATAAAACAGTTTGTCAACACCTTGACATTACTTTTCAGAATTAATTCTTGTACTGACTCTCAAGCCAGGGAAATAAAATTTACTAAAAAAATTTGATTGTTTCCTTAAATGTATACAGGGATATCAAAAATTGCTGGTCAATTTTAAATATTTATTTTACGTAAAAACTTCATTATTTCAAACGCAACACTATGTATTTTTTTAAATAAGTCGAAGCAGATTTAAATGCTCCTTCAAAATATACTAGGATTTCGTATACCTATTTGGCTCAGATTTTGAATAAAAAACGATTTTTCAATAAAATTTTAATCAAAATGGCCATTGTCGCCATGGCAATTTCCTAGTGACACTTGGTAGCTATTTTCAAAATCGATATTAGTTTATGGACTTTATTTAAATTTATAACAGGTTATTTTTATTTATTTTACCTGCAATAAATTTAGTAAGTAAGCATTTATTATTTTATCAAGAAAAATAAAGCAGTGTCTGCTGGCGGAAGGAATGGATATGTTACTAGTGATTAAAAATATAAATATAATTAATTATAGGATAAATAGAATTAATTATTTTGAGAGGACATTTGCTTGTTAGCCTGAAGGGTTTATCCTCAAAGATATCCAAATACAAGTAGGAAGTTTCTTGACCAAGCGTTCCTTTAAAAAACTACTTTTCCAATTTCGCAAAGCTGATAGTGTGGTATATGAAAAATCGATTAGGCAGAAACCTGTCGTCGGAAGTCAAGAAAATTAATTTGCCTCAATTGGTTCTTTTATGCAAAATCCAATATATCTACAAGTCATCGTAATATAAATCAAAGAACTACTTCTTGATTTTTCTTGATACAATAATAAATACCGAGATAAATACTTACTTATTAAACTATTGTACGTAAATTAAATAAAAATAAACTAACATAAATTTAAATAAAGTGCATAAAGTAATGTCGAATTTGAAAATAGCTACTAACTGTCACTAGCAAATTGACATGGCGACCCCACCCATCTTGATTGCTAGCAGATAGGTATAGGAAACCCTAATATAGTTTGAAGAAGCATTTAAATTTACTTCGACTTATTTAAAAAAATACATAGTGTTGTATTTGAAATAACGAAGTTTTTATGTAAAATGTATATTTAAAATACACGAGTAATTTTTGATACCCCTGTATACATTTCAGAAAGCAATTATTTTTTTGGTAAAGTTTATTTCTCTGGCTTGAAAGACAGTACAAGAATTAACTCTAAGTAATGTACAGGGTGTTGACAATTTTTTTTATTATAGCATGCATATTTAAATAACTTTAAATATATCAAAAACCAAAGCATTTAAACATACTAAACCTCAAAACCCCAAGAATCCAAAAATGAAATAAAATACCGGGTAAATAACTTTGGTGTGGATTTTAGTTCTGACACACCCTATACATTTGAAAATAATTTTAAATTATGCACATTGCCTCCATACATATATCCATAAAAAACTTTGTTTCTACATCTTTTCGTTTTCGTATAATCAACCGAGGCGGATGAGGTGCGCCACCCTGTAGTGTGTTCTTTTCGTTGGGTGCTTAACTTCTTTTAATCCAAAAGGGGCGAATTTTAAGTTGCTGTGTTGTGGTAAAATGCAGTAACAATTTGAACAGTTGTTGTAGTTTTTTCCAGATTTCCAGCCGGATGTGCCCAGGTACGTTGCTAGGTTTAACATAAATTTTTAAGGTGTTATAATAAACTCATTAGCAAAATATGTACTGATAATAGGGGTTACGTTATATACCTAATTGTAAATGTTTTTATTGATAAATAGAACTATGAATACAAATTAAAATTTATAGAATTTTATGCATACTACTAATATTACTCTGATGTGTTTCTCGTATCGATCGTGTATCGATATCGCACTTGCGTTAAGATAAGCGAGTATCGAAGTAGGTACGAAGGGTTCCATGTAAATCTTTGTGAGTTGACTAGCTGTCTATATATGAGTAAGCTGTGGTTTTACTAGGAGTAAAAATGAAACTTTTTGTGGTGAGGCTAAACGTTTAACATACAGACCAGGGCATACCATTTTTTTTTTCAAATATAAAAAGATTTAAAAGTCATACCTTGGATGTAATTATCTATCGAGAAACTATGGTCACGCTCGTTGAATTTGACACTTTATGTCAGTTTAATAATATATTTTCGAACTTTTATGCTTAGGAGTAAAAGTGCTTTAATTTTATGCCTAGGCATTAAAATATTTTTTTTTTCAATAGCAACTGTTAAAATTGCCTTATATCTATCAAAAATAGTAGATAAAATAGTACTTTAACCGCAAGGGTAGATTAAATGATACTTTAACATCGAGGATAGACGAGGAAAAACTTTATTTTCTTCTCGCACGTTTTTTAATTGCTTCCATTCTTGAAAATTTTTGTATTCCTTTTCATAAGTTATCTATTCGGGATTTAAATGGAAGTAGTTTGGATATGGCGTTTGTCACCCCAGCCTGAATATCTGTTGGTAATTTATTTATTTCGTTTTGAGCCATTTCTGGATCCAATTCAATCAGCAATCGACACGAAAGAGAATTAAAAAATATTGACTCAAAGCTGACAACTAAAGAGACAGCTTTATTTATTTGTCAAATTACATAGAAACCATCACCAACCCAGCACAATATTTTTTCTACTCGTAATAAATTCCTTGAAATAATAATTTCTGAATATTCCTCCCGAATTAATCTTTTCGGTCGACGATAAAATTCCATATTATCGTCTTGTATAAGAAATAACTATTTATATTATCAATCACGTCGCAAAAATTAATACTTTTGTGACCTTTGAAAAAAAAACACATTTTGGTTACCGACGCGACGTTTAAAATCGAATCGACTGGAGAGAGAGAGAAACTCATACAAAATTCTAAAGTCGTTCTCACAAAGTTCATCTATAAACGAAATTTACTTTTATAAGTAATATCCTTTAACCTCGAATCGATTTCATTTGAGCACAAATTCTCAGGTCCCATCTGCATAATTATTCTACAGCAAATTTCATTTAGCGAAGCCCTTAAGTGTGGAAGTTTAACACTGAACGATGAGCGGAACAAGCGGAGTTTACGAATTCAAACGTGTTTATGCAAATACTAAATAATACCGTATAGTGTGTACGACTTGGGGGCATTATTAGGCAACATAAATCCCGATAAGATTTAACTTTGTATTCGCGGAAATTGGGGATTAACCTTCTACATTTTAACTTTAACACCTACTTGAAGAACTCATCCGCTGAAGTTTTGACTCCAACTAAATTGGATAAATCCATTTTTGTCTGGTTTCCTAGCATATGTTGCGTCAAATCTAACTAAAAAAGAAAAATATGATATACAAATAAGATTTCAGCACTCAATAAAAGAACCAAGTAAGGGGTCAAATATCTACTATTTTTATAATCAAACATTAAGACACGAAAAAGTACATCATGGCAACCGAAACCGATTTTTGCATAAAAAATTAGAATTGCTCTAGTTTACTCATGTCTCTTTGTCAATTTTGTATTGTATATTAATTATTTTATGCAAAATATGTAGTAGCGCCAGCAAAAAAAAAATAACCTATGAAATTTATGGGTTAAAATGAACCTAATAACCGAGAAAAAAATATCCCCGGAACGCAGGATTTTTAGTTCACTTTTAAAAGGTGTCGGTGAACATTCAAAGTTTTCCGTTTAAATAACACGTAAAAAAATCTTTTCCCATTAATAATACAAAATAAAAGCACTAAATCACCACAATACACCAAAACACTTTTACTTTTACACTGGACGCGCATTTCGCTAACCATGTTAGCATCATCAGCAGATGATTATAAACTAGGAACGTGGAGTTTATAATCTGCTAATGATGCTAACATGGTTAGCGAAACTCGCGTCCAGTGTAAAAGTAAAAGTGTTTTGGTGTATTGTAGTGATTTAGTGATTTTATTTTGCTGTATAACACCAAAGGTTCCAACCCTCAACTGTAATTAAAAATACCATAACTTTGAAACGGTTTACGATAAAAAAATTCACATTGCGGATTCTTGTAGAGCATAAAATTTACTAAAAAATCTATCTGAGAGTAATTTTTTTCAATCTAATAATTCGTATATTTGAAAGCTTTGAAAAGTGAAAAAAAAACAATTCTCAATCAGAAATCAATCAGCTTTAGTGTTTGTTGATTCCATAGGTTAGTTTTTTAGTTATCTATCGAGAAACTATGGTCACGCTCGTTGAATTTGACACTTTATGTCAGTTTAATAATATATTTTCGAACTTTTATGCTTAGAAGTAAAAGTGCTTTAATTTTATGCCTAGGCGTTAAAATATTTTTTTTTCAATAGCAACTGTTAAAATTGCCTTATATCTATCAAAAATAGTAGATAAAATAGTACTTTAACCGCAAAGGTAGATTAAATGATACTTTAACAGCGAGGATAGGTTAAGAACTTTATTTTCTTCTAGCACGTTTTAATAATATAGTTTCGAACTTTTATGCTTAGGCGTAAAATTGCTTTGATTTTATGCCTAGGCGTTAAAATATTTTTTTTTCAATAGCAACTGTTAAAATTGCTTTATATCTATCAAAAATAGTAGATAAAATAATACTTTAACCGCAAGGGTAGATTAAATGATACTTTAACAGCGAGGATAGGTTAAAAGCTTTATTTTCTTCTCGCACGTTTTTTAATTGTTTCCATTTTTGAACATTTTTGTATTCCTTTTCATAAGTTATTCGGGATTTAAATGGAAGTAGTTTGACACACACATTGCGGATTCTTGTAGAGCATAAAATTTACTAAAAAATCTATCTGAGAGTAATTTTTTTCAATCTAATAATTCGTATATTTGAAAGCTTTGAAAAGTGAAAAAAAAACAATTCTCAATCAGAAATCAATCAGCTTTAGTGTTTGTTGATTCCATAGGTTAGTTTTTTTGGCTCACCCTAATGTATAGATCTGAAAAGGTATTGTGAAATGGGTTAGTACTTTAATTAAGGAGATTCTCTTGTGAGGATATCTAAAAAATAGTTATATTGGTATTGGTACATAGTAAAAACGTTCCTCAACTATAAAAATTAAATAGTGAATTCCTTTTTTCTAGTAAGTAAATTATACAGGATTTTGAAAACAAATGTGAAAATATAAATCAAGGCGATTCCTTTGTTAATGAAAAAGTGTAGTTTGGAGTCTTGAAAATGTGCAAATATTTTTAGTGGTATTATCTTTTGATCCCAGTAACACGTCTATTTTTTTTATTTTTAGTTAAGAAATATAATTTCTTAACAATATGTCAACATATGTAGTAGATTAAATTTACAAGAATGAAAACGCAGAAAAGATCCAGTGGTTTTCACAATTTTAGCAAAAAGTCAAAATTTTAGTAAAAATTAGTAGTAATTTAGACTTATTTGAAAAACGGTAAAGAGAAAATGTATTTATTTTATCGAGATCTACCAGCCCTGAAAATATTTGCACTTATTTAAGATTCAATTTGTATAAACCTAGTGTTAAAAATCAGCCTGTACTGGATACACAGTACAAAGGTGGCAGGAAAATAAAGTCTTTATTTTTTATCTTATAAAGGAAATACCATGGAATAATGAAATTGTAGGGTAATATAAGATTTGCTCCAACACAGAAATTTGTACCGTTCTAGAACGATAACTGGGATTACTGGAATCGGATTTGTACGCATGTGGCGACTTGAACAGTTCTATTACTCTACCAAAATTAGTGCAGGTTGGAACGATTTTTGAACTGATTTTAGAATAAAATTCATAACCTAATTTTTAATTTAGGTTAGATATATTTTCGATATAATATCGAATTTTGTTTTTTAATGATTTACGGATTGGGTATTTAGTCAAAAGATATAAAAATATTTATTTAAAATATGCGCAAAAACAATAAATACCAAATAAAACTTGAGGAACCACCGAATTACAAACAGAAAATAGCCAAAGAAATAAATGAAAAACAATCAGTAGAGGTACAGGCAGGTCAGTTCCTTTCATTCCTGCTGTTAGGCTGGTTTTGAAGTTACCGTTCCGAATCCAGTTCACGAATAATTACAATTCTGGTTGGAATGCAAAAGACATCGTTCGCTAAACGATTCTTTCGTTGTTGGAGCGCATTTTCTTTACTGCGCACAAGCGTAACCGTACAAAGAACGATTATCTGCTGTGTTGGAACAAACCTATTGTTGACTGTGAGATCACTATCTGTATATTTTTTATCTTACTTCTTTGAATTTATTGGAAGAGTTTGAAATAAACTACAGCTATTATTTTTATTACCTATATTTAAAGAAGAAAAATTGAGTTAAAATGAAAAAAAAAACAATATATTTTTTTAAATAAAATATAAATTATTACGTATCATGACAAAGAAATCTATTAAAAAAAGAAATTAGTTTGCTGGTTTCAATATTTGAAACAGCGTTAGTTGGTATGAATGTTATTTTTTTTGACAATTATATTTAAAAATAAATTATTAACAAACATGTTCCAAACTACCCTATTATCTATGTATGTATTAACGCATGAACTGTGAATAAAATCGTTTGCTAAAGAATGTTTAAAAAGAAACATATTTCAGATCACACATTTTAATTAAATTATTCGCCAAACACTTTTCAGTATAGATACTGGCACCAAAAGACAGTAAATTATATTTTCTATTTCATTATATTTTTTAATTTAATATGTTAGACAGGCGTCGAACGCTACTGACCATGTGGAAGTGAATTCAGGCATATTAAAACAACCGTTGAAACCCTCTCATAGTTTTAATAAGATTGTTGATATGCTCCTTTCTTAGTATTTCTATTCAGTGATTTTAAGGAACAAATAGTTTTACCTGAATGCAGCTTGGAGTGTTCCAGGAGTTGTCACATCTCGACCAAGGTAAGGTGGATTGGAAACAATAGTACAGAAATAAGAGCGGATATGCATAGAGTGTTACGAAGTACGTCGTTACTATAATGTTGATTACTATCATGGCAATTCCGGCACCTTGAAATTTTAATAATTGTTTTAAATAACAATATGTAGTTAATAATGATAATATAATAGAAAATATAAATGTATTTTAAAATTAAATTGAACCAAATTTTTACGAAAGATAAACGATAAAAGTTTCTGAAATCTGAAATATTTTGTGTCCTGTTAACTTAAACACACTGTATATAATTTAAAGTAAAATATTTACGGTATTTTGGGATTAACGTTACATATAATATGTATTGTGAAAATTTTATTTTGCGTATTACTCCTATTAATCTAAAATTATTGAAATATTAAATTTGAATTTATTAAATTTATTTTTTACGTCTATTTAATACGATTAATAGAATACAACATTGGATAATCAATGGTTGTGCAATGTTAAAGATAGATAATTATAGCTATACATAATCAATAAATAGAATTATAAATTAAATATATTACCCATAAACCAAATTTGTGTTCAGTTGTTTTTGTTATTAGGTCATTATCTATTAATATAAAATAGAATACTTGGTTTTAATCTGATAGTATAAATACCTTTGAATAATGGAGCTATTTTGAAAACAGTAATACATCCACTGCTGGAAAACTGACCCAAACTAGTTTCCAGAAAGTACAGGGGTATTCCACAGAAAAACAGCATTATTAAGTACGGTACCAGGAAAGCCCCTAAAAAACAGGAATATGATTTTTGTAATATATATCACTGGCCAATTATTGCAATTTTTATTTATTATTTTGCTATTATTGACAACATTAACACATCAAACATTTGCCGAAAAACTTATTAGAATATAAATGTCAGTAGAAATGTTATAAAACAATATTGCTTAATTGATTTAAGTTTAATACACCTGTTCGTCGCCTAACTTTGTCGCGTTTCAACTTATCTCCGGTTGTCTTGGCCTATTTCGGTTTGTCTTGACCTACTTTCGTTTCTTGAAAGCACCTTAAAACTATTCGTAAAATTGCGGACAAGGGCGTAGGGGGATTTTTTTGGCGTTTCTTGTTGTCTCGTTAAATTTTGTTTCGTTTCGAACTGTTTCCACGATGGGGCGGTATCTGTACTCGAGGCAAAGGATTTTTTTTTCATAAATCTTAGTGAAATAAGTAAACCTAGACGTTTCTAAAATATGTGTTGTTTTTATTAGATTATTTACATTATAACATTAATAGATTAGTTTTGTCCTTGTATATTAACAAAACTAATTTTAAAATGTTCGATTTTTCTCATTATTTTACATTTTTATTTAATAACAAAATTTTCGGTAAATTTATGCCTTTATGTAAAAATCAAAATTTAAAAAATATCTTATCACCGATTCTCCACTTTAACACCCTATATAACAACGATTATTAAACAATTCATAAATTAATATTTTTTTAAAGCTAATTTCATTGATGTTATTAATACAGTAAGAATCACAAAAAAAAGACAGTGTTTGCTTGAAAATTAAGATTCCCCTCATTTTATATGCAATATTATACCGGGTGCGTCTCAAAAGTGGCTCACCAATATAACTTTTTTATTTTTTTGGATGAAAAAACGAGATTTGGTATTTTAGTATATGACATAAATTAGGATTGATTGACGTATTCAATTGTTTTTGGTCACTTCCTGTTTCACCGGAAATGACTACAACTTTTGATTTTTAAGAGGCACCCTAGGTATTTTTTTTTTACTTTATTCGATAGAAAATAACATTCTGAATAGAATGACATATCATATGTCAACTTTTGACATTCTCGCTTATAAAAAAATCATATTTTAAAATTCAATCTAGAGTGAAATGGCTATGTTAAAATCACTAATTCTTAATCAAGGAGCTTTGAAAAAATAGATTTGATCCTTGTCCTGGCCAGTTAGAAAATGCTCAAATCGTATTTTTAATCATACCTTAATTTTTTCAAATGGAACGAGGGCGGCTCATTAGCATATTTGGAAACAGCATTTTTTTACGAATAATTTGAGACCACACACTTGGTATTTCGAGCCAAATTTTCGTTACAAACCGCAAGTTATAATTTCAAATAAACCATATGCGAAAATATCAAAAGTTGACGTATGATATGTCATTCTATTCAGAGTGTTATTTTCTATTGAATAAAGTAAAAAAATACAAAAGGTGCCATTTAAAAGTCAAAAGTTGTAGTCATTTCCGGTGAAACAGGAAGTGACCGAAGACAATTGAATACGTCAATCAATCGTAATTCATGTCATATACTAACATACCAAATCTCGTTTTTCTAACTAAAAAATAAAAAAGTTATAGGGGTGAGCCACCTTTCAGACGCAACCGGTATAGAGAATGCCAACTATCGTCATTTTCAAGCCAAATTGATACCGATGATTTTTTCGATCATACTGCACCTACATATTCAGGCAACAGTCTTGTTTAGTTTTAAGGGTATTTAAATCAAACCATCTCAAACGATAGATTTAAAGTTAGCATCTCCGATTCTTTTGAAAAATTAATTTATTTGTGTCTATGTTGAAAATAACTTATAATAAAGCTCTAATTTGTTCACGCCTGCCATTTCTAAAAGCTTAAAACGTGTTACAGAAAAACAAGCTGCAACTAATTAAACATAATTATTCCGATTTTTATTTCTACTGCCTCGTTTCACAAACGGGATTTAAACTGGACTTCACATTAAACTTTCCTCATTAAAAAGCAAACTTTTGTACTAATTAACCTATTGATCGTAGCATGCGTGGTATTTTTATCCGAAAGAAAATAAATTCAGTGCTATCTCCTGTTTTTTACAACCAACTGTCAAACACATAGTAACGTAGGAAGTGAATTAGTTCAGTAACCTTCTGGGAGTAATGCTATTAAGGGTGGCTGCTACAACTTACCGTAAAATCTTCCGGTTAGCTGACCTCTACTTATCTGAAAACTAGTGTTTAGAAAAGCTTTCATTATTACCGAATTTTTTTACCATCGGTCTGAAAAGAGCTTGAGACAGATTTTACAAGAGATTTTACAATAAGAAACTACAGTCAGATTTCAATATTGTACTGTAAATTATAATATAGTTTTTTTCAATAATACAAATTTTCCTTTTAAGTTAAAATTAACTCGCTTTTCTATGGTAATATCATTTTATTTTCAATTTTTGATAGATGGATATTATTAGTTTCGATTAACTTCATATTTTTCGCTGTTTTAAAATAATGTTAAAGAAGCACCAATCTTATAGTCAACTTTCTCTTAGGGGTTCAGAGGATAAGCGCCAATTTCTTAATTTTAGTAGGAAATTTGAGTAATATTAAAGTAGGTCTAACTGGTCCCTACAAAATGTATAAATTCTGCAAGGCAATAAGGTTAGGTTAGGTTAGGTTAGATTATAATGTAGAGTACGAACCAACTAAGAACATGCTACGAGCGTCATCACTTAGAAATCGTTTGTCTCTCTCTTGCACTGGCGCGTCCAAGATTAGAACCCAAGAGAGAAGGCGATCGTTTTCTATCAAGGTCGTGACATGTTCTTAGTTGGTTCGTACTCTAGTTACGTTAGGTTGTAAATCCTTTGGTATATGCCTAGTAAAAAATATAGAATACACGTACGAGATCTACATTATTTGGAGAATTTGGAAATAGCATCAATAGTTCATCTAGGGATCAGTAACATGAGTAACAAAGTCAATTACTTACAGTTTATGAAGTAAAAAATGCTTAATATTTCTGCAGAACTTTATTTGTGACAATAAATAATATTATCTTGAGCAAAAAATTTGAAAATAGAGAATTTTTAACATGGAGAGACTATTACTATTATCTAAAGCCGAGGACAGATGTTAGCATACGCGAGGAAATCTTTCTCAGGTGTAGACGTGCATTCGCAGCGAAATGCAAGAGGAAAGGGTTGATTGTTAGAAACGGTAACATTCGTTAGGTCTGTCCTCGGCTTTAGAACAGGATTAACGGAAAGTCCTAACAACCGTTGCAAAGGGAAACATTTATTGTTGGTCAATATTGTGAATACAATTTATATTCTTTTTATTATTTAAGTAATAAATAAATATAATAATATATATCAGATCTACCAATGAGCTGAAAAAGGAAGGTGTTCCATCAGTACGTTATGCCAGTACTTACATATTGCACTTACACTGACGAAAAAGTCCATGGAAAAAATCCGTGTAGCTCAACGAGCTGTGGAAAGAGCTTGGTATATCTCTAAGAGACAAGATACCCAATATAGTTATAAAACAGCGTACATGAATAACGGATGCTATATATATGCTTCAAAAAAACTCAAATGGAACTGGGCTGGGTATATTGCCAGAAGAACGGATGCTAGATGGACCAAGCTAATACTAGAATGGCGGCCAAGACAGGATGCTCTCAGAAGTAAAGGCAGACCTTCAACAACATGGTCAGATGACTTAAAAAGATTTAGAGAAAACTGGATCCAAGTGGCACAGGACCGAGGAGAGTGGAAATATTTGAGGGAGGCCTACGTCCAGTAGTGGACACTTCAGGTTGGTTGATGATGATTATTTAAAGGTCTCAAAGGTCATAACACCGCGCATCCTTTGAGTTCTTGGAGATTTTTGTGTTCTCCATCCAAAAATGTAGACACATTCAATATCTGTATGTATCTCTGTTTTTGAAATATTGAAAGTTTTCCGTTTTGAATGCTACAGAATTCGCATGACACAGCATGTAACAAAAAGGTTTGCATTTTTCTATTTTGTTTTTTTTATGCAAATTTTGAAATAGTTCAAATAAACAGTATTCATGAACATGATGACACAACCGAAGTGCTATTTGGTGCTGGTCTAGACTTTAATGCGGCCCTACATACAGGGTGAGTCTTAAATAAGTGTTAATATTTTTAGGGGTAGTTTATTTCAACGCCAAAAACACGATTATATGAGATTTTTTTACGAAAAAAAAACTTGAAAATTGGAAATTTTTTGAAAATGTTTTTAGTTAAAAAATGTAATTTCTTGATAATATGGCAACATAGGTAGTAGTTTAAATTTACAAGAAAGAAAATCCAGAAAAGAACTCCAGTTCTCAAATTTTAAGCAAAAAATTACTTTTTTGGAAATTTTCAGTAGGTAGTACATAACTCGGTTATTTTGGAGATCTACCAGCCCTAAAAACATTTGCGCTTATTTAAGACTCACCCTGTATAATATAACGGACCATGGAATCCTAGCGTTAGGTTCTCATTGAATTGATATATTCTTCCTAACCTCTAAAATAATCTAATAAAAATACTCACTTTTGTAAAATGCCACAAACTCTCTAGTGGTTCATTACTTATAAACAAATTTGCCTAACCATAGAAAAATGTTGCACAACACAAAAGCAATAATTTAGAAAGACACATATAGAAAGGTACACAACAAACTAACAAATCTCAATTTTTTTGAAACTTAATTTTTGAAACCATACAGTTCAATTATTATACTTTCCAAAAAAGGTATATGTGAATATCTGACCAAAAGTAAATTGATTCAAACGATTCAAACCTTCTACAGTCGAGTATAAGTGGAGCCAATTATAGAACTAAAACCTTCAAATTGACGCTAGGGTCTCGCTTTGTCGTACTCACCACCTCCGCTCCGATAGCACAAATACGGAAATCTCCATACATTTCCAATTCCGATAGCGTAGCCCAAGGACGACAGCACAAACTCGGTCTTGTTGGCCCATTTTTCACGTCGGCATTCGCCGGCGTCCTCGCCAGCGTCACTCCCATTATATTGCCAATTAGTCGTGACATCGTTCGACTTATTTGTCATTTTTAAAGCAATAACCGGCTCGGGTTTGTGCTGATGTTTTCGAGAAAATCCGCGTAGTGTGGACGTTGTTGCCTAAACGCGACCGAGGGAATAAATAAAGTGTTCTATTTACGATGAGATGTCTGCTGTTGAATTAATAATGATCTAATCTGGTTTAAGTATATAATAAAGGAGGAGGAATAGTTGAAAGTATCTTGAACTTTGTTTCTTAAAGGTGATCGTTGAAATAAATAGCTAAAATGAGTAGTAACTCTGGTAAAATGATAATCTAATAAATTTGTTACAAGAAATATATGATGGTGGTTGTCAAAGTTTGGTTATAAGCAATATCCACTATTTTTAACTTTTACACTAACGTTGCTTAACTTGGAGTTGTAGTTTACATACTGGATGTTTTTCAAAAGTGGCTTATTCCTATATCATTTTTAGTTTTTTCTGAGAAAAAACTAAATTTGGTATGATAATATAATATGGCATGAAGATGAAATCGGTATTGATTGACGTATTCAATTAGTTTCGATTACTTCCTGTTTCACCCGAAATTACTACAACTTTTGATTTTTAAATAGTGCCATCGCTAATTTTTACCTTTATAAGATGATAGAAAATGACATTATGAATAGAATTACTTATTATATATCAACTTTTGATATTTTGAATTAAAAACTTATCTATTTAAATTTAAATCTAGAGCATCATGGCTGTGTTAAAACTATTAATGCCCAAATCGTATTTTTTGTAATAATTCAATTTTTTCAAATGGAACGGAGATTAGAGGCATTAGGATATTTGGAAAAGGCATACACATAATTGGTTTTTTGAGTCAAACTGTCGTTACATTTAATGGACATGGCAGTCTAGATTTACATTTTAAGTGCTATTTTCTTAATTGAAAATGTCAATGTTGACTCATGATATGTATGTAATTCTATTTAAAATGTCATTTTCTATCAAATAAAGCAAAAAAATACCGAGGGTACCACCCTTTGAATAAGAAGACTAAGGAAGGAGCATAATGCTATCCATGTATTCATGCATGGTGGGCGGAAAAACCACCATAAAAGCTCTCTAGGGTGGGGATCCTTGACAGTTCTGTTTGACGATTCATTTGACACATTTGAATTTGATTTGAAATTTTGTGGATTTGTCAGTCTTTACGGAGCTTATTTTATGTTATTTATTATTTATTCTACTACTGATAGTTGTATAAAGGTAGTAAATCTAGATGGAAATTGTGGCAGAACTTAAATTAACAGTGACACTATCGCGATTTATCGAAAAAATACTCTAAAATAGTTGGTTGTGTAGCGTGCGGTAGATCTCAGCAAAAATTGAGTGAAATAATGGAACAACTTTTCGCTAGTAAGTGACTATATAATATACATACGTGTAGTAAACCGATCATTTATGAAATTCACTTAAATTAACTAAATTATATATTTTTCTTGCATTTTAGCTTTTATTTATTACTTGTCAAAGATTAGATGTCAAAGAATTTAGATACGTTAATTTGACTTCATAATAACTACCAACATTTATTCACAACGTAAAATAAAACAACAAATTATTGAGTCTACCCCACGTCTACCTTACATCATAGTTTTACATTTTTTAAATAAAATTAGAACGACACTGATAAACCGGAATTTAAGTCGGCCATATTTGAGGCCCATCGCGGTGTACCTAAGATTTTTGATATGCTCCTTCCTTAGTCTTCTTATTCAAAGGTACCACCCAAGTAGCATAAGAAGGAGAAAAAAACATTAACCACGGAAAATTAACCACTATTCGGTTGAATTTTACTTATATTTAACTTAATAAATTTCTTGTAGGGAATAAAGTGCGAGGAATCTAAAAATGAGGTCGTAAACTAGTTAATAATAACCTAAAATTATGCCTTTGAAAAGTAGCAAAGTTCGAGTTAGCTGGCATTGTTAAAATCTAGTTACTGATAACCTATTGAGGGCATTAAGACTACAGGGACTTAAAGTAGGTCAAATGTTACTTTATTATAACCTCAAATTTGTCTCGGGGGTCGAAGGCATTGTTTGGTTTTCAAGTTAGGTTAAAATTTAGTTGTTAATAACTTTAAATGGGACCTTATTTGGAGGAGTTCAAAGTAGGTTGAAAATTTAATTTATTTCGACCTCATAAGTCGCTATTATGCTTCAAAGGTAAAAGTAACTTAGTTTTTTGACTTGGAAGAAAGTCAAACATACGGCAGGTTAAAAATTACCTTTTTTCATTTCCTCGGGGTGATTTCCATTTAAAATAGTTTTCGAGGGATTATTACGTCATAGCACATTTTACCTTGTTCCCACTGGTGGGGAACGAAAGAATATTCAATGCGTTTCATTTTTATTACCGCCACAATCTTAAACGTGTCCATTATGTGCGATAAAAACAAAAAGTCCTCTATAATAACACTCACAATCCCAAAACACGAAACTTTTACAAATAATAAGCAAAGAAAACTAATTTGGTTTTCTAGTTAGTTAGTGTTCTAGTTTAAGGCCAGTTCGGTAATTGCATCGGCTAGCAAAAGGATAAAAATTTGACATGTCACGTGACTCTCAATAAATATTCTCATTTTAGGACACATGATTACTGTGAAAAGTTAATCGGATTGCTCGAAGATGTAATTACCGAACTTAGCATAAAATATCATTGTCAACTGTCACTCAAAGAAAATAAAAGTTTTCTGTTTTACCGGCGATACTCCAAAAGTCAGGTCTTAAACGTAATTTTAACTTCAAATATTTGTTGGGCATTTAAAAATCAAAAGTTGTATTCATTTCCGGTGAAACAGTATGTGAACGAAAATAATTGAATACTTCACTGAATCCTCATTTATATCATATAATTACATACCAAATCTCGTTTTTTTATCTCAAACATTAACATATAGCTTCTTACTCAAAATAAATCTTTAAGATCTATTCACACATGTCAGTCACGTCTGAGTTCCGTTCCGTCACACAGCCCCAGTTATGATAAAAAAGTGGGTCGTGGCGTTTAATTTCAGTGAAAATGTAACCGATTTTAACACAGGCCCAGCTCTGTAACCGATGTTAACTTTCAGCGTCCGTACAATCATCATTTAAATTAGTGTTGAAAGATATTATTTTTGGTTTTGACTGATCACTGACCACCCTTCAAATAAAGTTTGTTGTTTTCACATCCAAAAGAGTACTTCCTTTCCTTAGATTGGGTTCTACATTATTAAGGAGCATATAACAACAATTTTTACATATTTTATAATACTCATAGAGTTTGGTTTAATTTAGTAGTGGGAACTATCGAATGAATACTATCGAAACATTCGATAGTTGCAATTCATTCGAATAATTCGATAGTTAGTAAGAAAACATTCGTTGAAAACTATTCGAATAAAAATTATCGAATAGATCCGTCATCTGCCTTGAAATATTGTAATCTAGTAATTCGGCAGCAAAAACCATTCATTTATAAAATTCATTCATTTATAAAACTCATTCATTTATAAAATTCATTCATTTATAAAATTCATTCATTTATAAAATTCATTCATTTATAAAATTCATTCATTTATAAAATTCATTCATTTATGAAATTCATTTATTCGTCAGGATCGATTATAATAAAATATTATATAACTGAATTTTAGTTGTCGCCCGGCGACGTAGGTTTTTTTCCGAGAAAGCGGTCGGTGGCAATGCTATGAAAGAAGCCGGCATCTTTGATTTTTTGCGGAGTCATATATAGATAAGGACACATTATTTTTTTTATTGAGGTGCTAGTATTTACACAGAAAATACATTATGAAGGGCGCTGTTGCCATATTTTTGTATTAGTTGATATTAGCAAAGAATATTATTGTTTGGCTTTAGTTAGTTAGGGATAGTATGTCTATATATTCTCCATTTTTTTATTAATATTCTGTTGTTACACTGCAATAATACTTGTTATTTTGGATGTAGGAAAATTATTTTTAATGTTTTTAAGCAAAGACTGGTTTAATAAATAATAATAACAGTAATAATTTGTTATACCTATTAACAACAAAATTTAAAATCATTTAATATAAATATTTTTTTAAGTAGTAGCAAAATATAAACAACAAATTTTATTAGATGTCAAAATTATTTATATTAGATCCTATTTAAAAATAATATAGTCGTTTTTTGGCAACGTTGGTTTATTAAATAATAATAATTACAGAACCAATTTGTTATATTAACAACAAATTTTAAAATCATGAAATATAAACATTTATTAATTTTCTAAGCATGCGGTGTAATGGAAGGAAAATATAAATAAAAAATTAGAAATCAAAATTATTTATATTAGGTGCTTTATATTACTATTTAAAAATTATATTTACTTTTACTAGCATTTACTTTAAAAAATAAATGAAATATTTCTTCGCAAAAACTACATGTAAGAGAATTAGCATAAACAAAATACAAACATCGTTAACTTTTTTTTAAATTGGTACGTGTAAAATTTTCATTTTAATTTTCTCACCCCATAGTTTGAGTTCGATAACCATTTATTTAACCACATTACTTAAATATAATTATTAAGTTCCAACTAATTCATAGGTATTAATAAAACATCTAAAATACAAATATGTATTTTTAAAATTAATTGTAAGTTCATCTCATCTCTCTTAAAAATTTCTACTTCTCAAAATTTCCCATTAAAAAATAAACCATATACCATATAAAATGAAATAATTGAAAGATCGGACTACGGAAAACCACACAAATTATCGGAAAAATTTTGACCACCTGCACATGCACACAATCGTCAATAAATAAAATTAAAAAATAACTACTATTTTAGTATTTTAACTATTTTAATAAACGCAAAAATAGCACAGTATTTATACGGCGAAGTTATAAAAATTTGGAAGAACCAATAATGCACTGACGCATACAAAATCCAAACGAATACTAAATTTCATTTATCAAAAGCATTCGATAGTCGTGGCTCAACGATAACCATTTAGTCGCACGGCGAAGTTGTCACATATGCTTTAGTTTACAAATGAATGAATGATTTTATTCGAATAAAACCATTCG